AATGAGACTTGCCAAACCACAGCAGTAGAAAAATCAATACAGTTCCAAGTATTAGTGTTGGCCATTTGCGAACAGTGAACATAGCTTACCTGGTTAGCAGTAAAGAAAAATGCATTATTTTTAATTTGTTAATAAATTTATGAATGCTAAAAGGGGGAGCAGTGGTTGAATTGTAAAGCGTTTGACATGCATGAGTCTACCCAGCTCTGATGGGTATTTGACATACTTTGGGGTAAGTAAAGGCGGCTGGGGCATAGTGCTGACTACATCATCCCTTCATATTCAAGGTTAAGAAACAAACATATTTAATTGATCGCTAGGTCTAAAGGACAATCATTTTGTTATACAACTTCTTTTTTCTTCTTCTTCGCTCTTAATTTTTAGTGTTGAAAAAGCTCTTCCAACACAATTAATTATACGTGTCCCACTGGTTATGAGCCATTGAGGGCATTGACTTGGATTTCAGCCTGCTTTTCTATTTGGATTTGCTTCCATAGCCTTTGTCCCAACCAAGAACTAAACCTACATAGGCAAGCAGTTGTTTGATTTTGGTTTGTCTCTCCCTACAATGAGCTTTACCGAATCGACCACTCCTACCCACAGCGTGATTGAATGGTAGGGCGTTTGACTGTTAGCTAGAAGGTCTCAAATTCGGATCTTGATTCGGATTTGTGACTGTAAGACGTCCCTGAGTCCCACCCAGCTCTGTTAGGAACTCGACGTATTTTTGGGGTGGGGGGGGGGGGGGGAGTAGAAGGCGGCTGGGAATTGTGCTGACCACACACCATCCCTTTCTCGTGACCTCGACATATAAATGGATAGTGCGGTCAACCACTATGGCTAGCCGCCTTTACCTTTCCCTAACGGGATAGGTAACCAATTAGAGCTGGGTGGTCTCAAAGACAGTCTCATATTACCTAGAAAAGTTCAAGCTTTTTCCATAGTAATCAGTCTGGGTTTAGAAAGTTTCATTCTTGTCACACTGCTCTGATTAAGATGAATGAAAACTGGCTTATAAATATTAACAAAAACCTACTCTGTGACTCGCTGTTTGTCGATTTCAGAAAAGCCTTTGATTCTATTGATCACCACCATACTTCTTAAAAAACTAATTCCATACAAATTCCACGACTTTACAGTTAGGTTACTTCACTCCTTTTTATCTAACCGATCTCAACGCGTGTTTCACCTTAATACCATCTCTTCACAGAAATATGTTAATATATGGGTTCCACAGGGCTCAATCTTAGGTCCTTTACTTTTTTCTTTATACATTAATGATCTTCCATTACATATTGACGCTGGTCAGTGCGAGATGTTCGCTGATGATACTTCTTTGCATGTCTTTGCAGACAGTGCTGAGTCACTCAGTTACAAACTTCAAACATGTGCCAATCAGCTTGCAACTTGGACAAAATTTAACAAAATGAAACTTCACCCCGATAAAACCAAGTCAATGTTTATTACAACTCATCAGAAACGCCTTCGTCTTCCATCCACCGCATTAAACATTACTATAGACAATTCAAACATTGAACAGGTAGACAGTTACAAATGCCTAGGATTGTTTATAGATCACAACCTCACTTGGTCTGACCATATTCATTTTCTAAGAATGTCCTTATTAAAGACAACCTTTCAGTTAGCAAGGATAAAGAACTTTCTCAACTATAGGAGCAGGCTGGTTTTTTATGAGGCTTTTATTCAATCCAGGTTGGATTATGCTTCTGTAGTGTGGAGCGGCAGCTTTATATCTAAGCAGCGACCTCTTCTTTCTTTACAAAAAAGGGCTATAAAACTGGTTACTGGCTTGTCTAGTAGTATGGATTCTTTTCTTACAACTAAAATACTTCCATTAAATAAAAAGATAATATATACTAAATCAATTTTCTTATATAAAATATTCCACGAAACAGCCCCCTCTTACTTATCAGATCTATTTTCTTTTAACATAAAATTAAATCGTCGTCTCAATTTACCATTCCCTTATTCAACCTTTTTCCAAAAACATAGCTTCGCCTACTCTGGTTCTAATTTGTGGAACAATCTTCCTAATAAAATAAAGCTATCTAGATCTGAAAATATATTCAAATCTAAATTAAAACTAAAATTATTTAATGACCTAACTGACTCATTGTAACATTTCTCATTCATCTATTATATTCTCTTTTTTATCTCATTATGTATGATAGCTATGTACCATTGTTTCTTTATTCCACATTTTCAGTGCTATGTGTTACTGCTATGTGTTATTGAATTGCTTTATTTGTTTAAACGGCCAATGTGAAAAAAGGCCTTTGTGCCTACAATTGTAACCGTTGTTTGAATAAATTTGAATTTGAATAAATTTGAATAAATTTGAATTTGAAACTCGGTTTCGAACTCGAGACTTTCGGGTTAGCAGTCTAGCTTCCTACCGCTAGGTGCCATTATTTGTTAGTATATATAGTGGCAATATTCGTGAGAGTATAATTATTATAACAGATATGTTAGTTTAGATGGTGCCCGTATTTGTTAGTATAAAGGCGTGTAAAGCCAGTTTTTTTTTTATTGTTAGTATAAAGGCGTGTAAAGCCAGTTTTTTTGTTATTTTAGTTGATATACTTACTTAGTTTATATCATGTAGGCTTATCTATTTGCTAGTAAGCCTATTCAGAGTTTCTTCAAGGAATCTGCAAGTTTTTCTTCGTTTAAATGTCAAAAAAAAAATGTTTTCATCTAGTAACATTACTAATTAGCTCTGTTTTACCTGCTTTAGTGTATCAAAGTGTAGCCCCGTATCAAACAGTGGTGTAACCTGTCAGCTCAACAGATGGATGTATGTATGTATGTAATCACGGGCTAACCATAATACAGTTTGAGGGACGTCACACCACTGACAACTTAACCTGGTTCATCTTGTTGATTAACACATGCCTAGGCTAGAGTTACACACACAATTTAAAGTCAGCCAATAACAGCTCAATTCTATCTCCTAAATCTCATCATGCTAACAGACACATGAGACAAATACACATTGAGGTGTATACAGGTGAATCAAATCTTGAACACAGCAACCCTGGGACAGTTCAGACAAAACAAAACAAAACATCGTATAAATCCATAATCAAACTTGACGCTTCGATGATTTTCAAAAACCCATGAACGCGATACACAGCCAACGGAGCGTAAAGAGGGTTTCAGATGTCGGAGATTAGCGTACGTCGTGGTATGCAGGTAGGCCAACACCCCCCCTCTCCCCGTGCGTAGACCATGTAGGTTTTTGAACGTCTACAATGAGCTCTACACTGACAGCTGTCTCCTGTTACATTACAGTTACGTACGACGGTCTATAAAGCTGGTATTAAAATCAGAGCTTTGAATATCATAAAAACAAAATTTTAACACGCTTATGACTGTTATTAAAGATATATATATATATATATCTAGAATATATATATATATATATATGTATATATATATATATATATATATATATATATATATATATATATATATATATATATATATATATATATATACATATATATATATATATATGTATATATATATATATATATATATATATATATATATATATATATATATATATATATATATATATATATATATATATAAATGTAAAAAAATAGAAATTGTTGTTTTTGGTCAGATTGTGGGCTCCCTCGCCTGCAATGCGGGATCTGGTGGTATAGTTGTACTGCCCTTGATTCAGAGATTCAGAGTTTCTTCCAGGTATCTCTTCGGGGGGGGGGGGGGGCAAGGACTCCCCCCCCCCCCCCCCGAACAACATGGAATTTATATAGAAAACATATAATTTTACCAGTGTCCGTCCCTCAGGAAAATTTTGACCGCCCCCGCCCCCCCCCCCCCCCCGAAAATATAAGTGCTCCCCCCCCCCCTCCAGGAAAAAAAAGTCTGGAAGAAACACTGCCTTGATTTGAACCCATCCCAAAGGAAAACGCTGCATTCGCCACTGAATGTAGACGTAGAGCAAATTTCGCCATGCTAAAAGTAGCGCGGCACACAATACAGTTTATATTTCTATCAGTCCAGCCATTTTACCATTGTTAACAAAACAGACACATTTTTTTCATAAACTCCGGCAATAACAATTCAGATTTTCCATTCCTCTCTAGTTTCCCATTTCTGTTTTTGTAATAACATAGTCTCTTCTCCTCTATGGCAACTTACGACAGTCGCTTGCCCATTGGAGTGTTTCTTTCGGGATCTTTAAAATGGAGGGGGGGGGGGGAGAGTGACAGTATCATCTCTTGGACTAAAAAAATAATTATCTACATGTAGAAAATTTGTAAAATAAATACTGTATTTAATGACCACTCTCGCCTCCCTACCCCCTCCCCTCGGAAGTTCCAATGAAACCCTTTGGGTGATCCTTTTTTAACTAACTCTAATAGAATCAGCTTGATAGTTTATGAAATAGAAAACACTCTAGTAATAATATTTTTTCAAATTTTCAAGATTTGATAAGGTGAATTACTATTACATTTACAAATTAAATATAACCGTATTTTACAATTACGAAATAGCAATAAATAGTATTTTTCAACAGCTGGTATTGCTAAGGACTTTGAAATTTTAGTAAAAAAAATACGTATTTTTAAAGGCAGAAGAAGTATGAAAAACCTTGACAAAGTAGTAAAGAATGGGCATTGTGTTAAATCGCATACAATCAGACAGTGAAACAATCGTTATGGATAGTATTTTAGGAATATCTTGCTAAACTTTCAAACAGATATTTAGGTTAGGTTAGTTAAGCCTGTCTCCCTTCCTTGAACATAAACCTCTGATAAGAGCTTTTCGAGGCGTCTTTGTCCTGAGCTAAACTCTCCAACTGTCCCCAGGTGTATCCAATCTTCTTGGTGTCTTCTTCCAGGTCACGTCTCCAGGTCTTTCTTGGTCTGCCTCTTTTCCTACTACGTATTTTATTATTTCAAACACAACTTTACAGTAACGAAAGCATGGTATCCTACTACACGTCATTTACGTGATTTGGTAGCTTTTTGTGATTCACGTTCAAACACATCCTTACAGTAACAAAACAGCTTCACCCTAGCGTCATTCACACAATCGGCTTGACCACGATATAGGTTCAAACGGTCAATGGAATCTCCCACTTCCACTTGTAGGGGAGTCAGGTTAGCTTCTGTTGCATTGGCTGGTAAACCGGGTAGGTTACCCTTTGTGTAGACAGTCGCCTCGTAGATTGCTAGACCTGGCTTTGTCTGAAGTCTGATCTTAAACAATGCCCGGTCGTTAAAATCTTTATTTAACGTTTTTGGACCTATTTGGATAAGCGCAACTTGGATTATTTTATCTAGGGTTAAGCTCATGCAAAGATATTTGTCAAGCTTTGAATTGATGGCTTTCATGACGTGGGTAGTTAAAAGTAATGAAAGATAGCATTTAACATCAAGGATTTCAACGCTATCCTGTCCGCAGACGCAGAACTCAGGTGGAATATGGCTGTCGTTGCAGGTTCTGTTTTTGGGAATGACCTGAAATAGACTGATCCTGTGTCCAGTTTTAAGTGGGGCGTGACCTTTGGCCTTGAAGTAGAGCAGTTCCTGGAGCGTGGCGTGAGTGTCGTAGTGTGTCGTGAGTCTGGCCGTGTTGGTCTTCAAGTTTCTCACAACATCCGGGTATTTCTCCAGAAACCATTTCGGGAATGTTAAAATCGTGTACGGTGTCCTGCTCTCTATCATCCCATTAAATGTTGGACGTATCGGTCCCCATCTCTGTCCGTGGTCGGAAAACGAAATTAAAACAGTCCTGTTCAAATACCCTTCCTTGAACAATGTGTTGTAAATATTATACGTGTGGTCATCAACTTTCTTCAGGTCATTTAAAGTGTCATGGGTCATTCTTGTAAGAAACGTCATAGCGAATTTCGGCCAGTCCGGAAATGTATCAAAGAAACGTTTGATGTAGTCCATGTGGAAAAACAACTCTGGTTTCGATCCAAGACAATCCCGCCCTGTAAGATGCATATCATGATCCGCATCTATCGCTAAGTTTATTGGATGGCTGTAGTAGGTAGTCGGTGGAAATAAAAACCCAAGTTTAGCGTGATGAAACCCACCAATGGCTGGCCAGTCCTCTGTGTACAACGTTTGGTACCCGGCTCTTTTATAATCCCGCCAGATTAAGTCAAACGCGTCTGAAAATTCTGAACGGCTCCACCATTCGCTCACCTCGTCCTTTGACTTCCCGCTCAGAAGACTTAAAAAATTCGGGAAAGTGTTTTCCCCGACTTGCGTGTGCATTGTGAAATCAAAAGACTGGAGATCGTTCATCAAAAACGAATAAGTTTTGTTCATCGCTCGAAGAAAATGATGTCTGGACACCCCGTCATATCCGACGATCATCACGTTCAATATTTCCTTCGGCGATGATTCCTTTTGATGTTTTTTCAACATTAACGCGTCGATTTTTAACTGTCTTTCGAATTTTGGGATAAGCGCGAAGTATGTTTTGGAAATTACGGTCATGTTTTCGTTATAACAAAACACACGGAAAAATTCAGTTGATTGATTCAGCGAGATTGATTCGTTAAAAGATGGACTCCATGATCCGTAGATTACCTTTGAATCCGTGTCTGGTCTTTTAAATATATCTTGATAGCTACAAGTAACATTACCCAATCCAAACAGCATATGTTTCTTTGTTGTATTTACTACAAGTTTAGAAGAATCAATGAAGGTTATATCCGGTAAAAATTTATCGCAAACTAAAGCTTTGAAGTGCAAATCGGATAATTTCATAATTTCCGGATCAAACGGGTTAACGTGCGGAAATTTGCAAGCCAGATGTTCGATATCTTTGTCGTCAATGGTGTTGTCTATATGCAAGACGGATCGGGTTATGGTCAAGGTTTTGTTGAGGAGAGACGCTGGCCATAATGATTGAGAAATCTTGTCGTTGGGAAAATCCGGTTCTAGATAATAAACAACGATGGCACACGCGAGTAAGGTGAAGACAAACATTCCCGGTAGTGGCCGCCACAGGAAATTTGAACCTGAAAGATAAACACAGACATTTTTTTATAAATACTTTACAGCGGAAGTTAATTTTCCGTATAGAAAAATTGTCTTCATTTTTTAATTATATTTTAAGTAATTTTTGTATAATAAGGAATAATCATCAACATGTTTATTTACATTTACTGCAACATACGAATGAAAAAGGAGCTTAAAAATAAAATTGTGTAAGTTAGTATTATTTCGGTCACGAAACATGAACTCTACTTCATCTGCCCCATGGATCAACAGGTGTAAAGTGGAATTCTTTATATAAAGAAATACACTAATGTGTACTCCAATTATTTCTTGCCAATTTCCTTCTTCTTTGTTTCATTTTGTTCAAACTCAAATCTGTTACGATTAGTTTCCATGAGCTTTGCCGGCCCGGACTCGCCGACCCCATTAGCCTATCTGATATTTTGCTTTCAACGTGCAGTTAACAATCATTTATGAAAATTATTACATTTTAAAAAAATCGTAAATCTGAAGTACCAGCCATTCGCTCACCATGTAGTAACCTATTCACCTGTGTAATTATCTACTTACCTGTGTACTCACTAGGTTTAATTACCTACTCACCAAGTTTAATTACCTACTCACCAGGTTTAATTACCTACTCACCTGGTTTAATTACCTAATCACCAGGTTTAATTATCTACTCACCAGGTTTAATAACCTACTCACCAGGTTTAATTACCTAATCACCTGGTTTAATTACCTACTCACCAGGCTTAATTACCTACTCACCAGGTTTAATAACCTACTCACCAGGTTTAATTACCTACTCGCCAGGTTTAATTACCTACTCACCAGGTTTAATTACCTACTCACCAGGTTTAATTACCTACTCACCAGGTTTAATTACCTACTCACCAGGTTTAATTACCTACTCACCAGGTTTAATTACCTACTCAACAGATTTAATTACCTACCCAATTAATTATTTACTTACATAAGTTGCTATTAACACACCCGTGTAATTACCTAATCACATGTGTAATTACCTTCTCGTCCTTGTAATTATCTACTCATTTGTGTAATTACCTACTTACCAGTAAAATTACCTGCTCGCTGTACCATGTTACCGAATCCTCTTGTTTTCATCTTCACTCTTGTTTTCACAAAATTATTAAAAATCAAATTTCCGTGAAAAACACTAGATTAGGCAATTGATAAAGCAAATCAGCTTAGACTGGAGCTTTGCACTAAAACATGAACATGAAACCACGATAGATATTTAAGAAACGTCATCAACGTTTAAAACGCCATCGACGCACTTTCAACTGTACCAGCTATTGGCTACCTTTCTTTTAATACCAGCTTAAAATCAATGAAAAAGCAAACAATGAAATTTTGAGGGCTAGTAAAAAAAAAGTACCAAGAACTATTCTAAAGTTTTATTTTTTTTTTCATTTCATTTCTTGGTCCATTTCAACTCTTATTCATGAAGCTAAACAGCTGTTAGATCTCTATGGGTTTTTTATTAGTATATTATATTTTTATGCAAAAAATAAATAATTATTTAAAACCAATCTCAAATATCGTCAACAAAAAATGACGCAAAGAGTAAAAGTTTTTGAATTAGGTGTAAATAATGAAAAATTGCGTGAATGTTCGTTCGACTATGATGTACATTTACAAGAAGTTAGAACCCTTGTGTGTTATCTGTACATCGGAACAGCATGTTTTTTCGTAATACGTATTGATTTAATTATTTGATATTGCAAAGTTTGTTTGATGTAGAATGGGTACTGACAGGTAATACGGAAGAAAGAGGATGGATTTCTGAAGAAAGTATTAAAGGTTACTCCTTTAGATCTGGTTGTCAATACGGCAGATGGAGTAAAGTCATCTCATTTTTTTACCACGGAAAACGAAAGTGTCGTTAAATTAAGCATAGGATGATTGAAATATCGCAAGACAAATTATCTTTGACATACATATTAAACAGAGCTACTTTAAAGTAAAGATCCCCTTTCAGATCTAACGATACGTAGGTAACATAAGTTATTTAACCCCGAAATCGTGTTTCCTCCAGACTTTTTTTTTTCCGAGGGGGGCGCTTGAATATTCCGGGAGGGGGGGGGGGGTGAACACTGTTAAAATTATATATTTTCTATATAAATTCCTTTTCGTTCGGGGGGGGGGGGGCGGTAGACTCTCTTCGGGAGAGGGGGGGGGCCTCGAAAAGATGCCTGGAAGAAACACTGCCGGAATATAAAGGGATGGACAGCACTATGTACTGATTTACTTTTCTTAACGTAAGTCAGGTACCTATCAGAACTGGGTGCAGTCAAGGATATACAACACTCAAAAGGCTGAACTGTATAATTTATTTATTGAAAAATTAGGTCGTTGGTATAATTTGACTTGCGGCTTTTTGTCACCAACTTTTCGTTTTCGTACTTGCCAACTTGTATTACTTTTCAAGTTAAATGTGAATGTTTTTATAAAATCGTAAAGAAAATAAAATAAATTGAAAAGTTTATTTTGGTAGTTTCGTAATTCACACTGCATTTTACATACAAAATAAAAAAAAAAAACTTCAACATAGAAATTATTGCTACGATCATGGCTTGATGTTATCAAAAGATTTCAAATCTTAAAAATAATATTTACTGTTATTTTTATTTAAAAATACTCACTTTAAGATTTATTTTTTTAAAGGCAAACATCTATAGTGATTAAACTAAAAACCGCATGGTTAAATATCTCAAACCTTTCTCAAGGCCTTTAAAACAATAGCTTGTGATAAGTAAAAATTGTATTTGTACCATTTTTAACGTTAAGTAAATATTACGTCTCGTATTTACTTATCTTATCAAGTTAAATGTTTAAGACTATACAAGATTAGCTTCAAATCAATTTCAATTATTTGATATGCTTTTACTTCAAAAAGTTACCGTGTATGGATTTTCGTTATTCAATACATAGCGTATGTGTTTGTTAACCTATGTTTGCCTATGTTCGCGATAGTATATGTGTAAAAGTATGTATGTAAAAGGGCATACGGAGCATATTTCCCTAGTTCCGTCACACATAGTAGCATAAATACATAGCAATATTTACGAGGTGGGGGTGAGGATGGAATTTAAAAAAATATATTTTTATATAGATAAACACACACACAAACACACACACACACACATATATATATATATATATATATATATATATATATATATATATATATATATATATATATATATATATATATATATATATATATACATATATGTATACATTTATTATAATATTTTATATAATATATATATATATATATATATATATATATATATATATATATATATATATATATATACATATATGTATACATTTATTATAATATTTTATATATATATATATATATATATATATATATATATATATATATATATATATATATATATATATATATATATATATATATATATATATATACATAATATGTACATTCTATATAAAATATAAATGATCGGAGAAACTTTTCGCTGTAGCAACCATGAGCTTTACCAACCCGACTATGTCGATTATGTATATTTTGAGTGTACTCGATGTACCGGGAGGATTAAAAAAAACGGGACTTTTCGCCTAAGCTAATAACAACCATGAGCTTTATCGATCCCTCCACTCCGAAACCCACATACAATTAACATCGAGTAAAATGTAGTTTTTTTTGTTTAAAGCAATAACATTTATGTTCAACGTTGTAATTAAAATGATGGTTTGTATTCTTGAATCTTTATCGCTATTTCATGTTCGCATTAAGCTAGGCCAACATTTTAGTTGTATGCAAACATTGGTTTTAAAAAAAAAATTATCCGTTTACATTGTGTATTTGAATTGCTTATCACTATTAAATTAATCTTAACAGCTGCAGATCTAGCGCTGGTTATCACTTCCGTTTTGTTTGCAAGGTGAATGTGTTTGGATAACTTTCTAAGCTTGTGACAGGCTGATAATCACACACATATATATATATATATATATATATATATATATATATATATATATATATATATATATATATATATATATATATATATATATATATATATATATATATATATATATGAAAATGATAGAGAAATGTAGGGAGTAAGAGAACAAGATAATGAATTCAAACTGACAGAGTCGTATCTTCCTCACCATGTAAGTAACTGTTGTGTACGGCGTGGTCGGCTGGCGGATAGCTATTCTGCTACCCCAATGGTCTCGAGTTTGGATCTCGGTCTGGACTCTTGACCGCAGGACGTCCATCCAGCTATAATGGGTACCTGACTTGGGTTAGGGAGAGAAAACGCGACTCGGCTTAGTGCTGACCATATTATCCTCTCAAATGTCGACGTCAAGAAACAGGAACTCTACTTCATATGCTCTATGAATCTTTAACTTTGTAAGGGGAGCTATACTTTATTTAAAAGTAACGAGCCGACCCGCGGCATATCATACGCCGCTATTTAGTTGTTGTTTTTTTCTACTTTCAGTAATTCATAATTTGTGAATTCGACAGTACCAACGCTGCCACTGAAAATAGTTCTTTAAAATAC